TGTGATAGTGATTTTATAAAACAGTTCAAAGAATAAGATCACATTGAGTTACTTGCATTGAGTGACAATGCTGTTTATTTCTGTTTAGCCAATGAAAATAATTCTAAACAAAGCTGAAGCAGAAAATCTGTCTCAGAATCACTTTGTTTTTCTCCCCCCTGAAGAATTTGTTTTTGAACATATCAATATTCCATTCATAAGCACCATACCTGTCAACCGTCCCGCTTTTCCTGAGATTCTCCTGTATTTTACAATTATATCCCGCTATTATATTGTAAAGGTATTTACTGTATTGCTCCCATATTTTTAATCTTTCTATGAAGGGTGGCATTAAAGATTACAGACCTAATTCTCCCTATACACAACCCATACCACCGAACTACCAGAGGACGCCCCTTGCTCTTAAATGTGAATCTGTTGTGTGCTTTTGTTTTATTTAGGCATGAAAACACTTTAAAATACATACAAAAACAGCAGGATTCCCTTCCTTTCCTTCCCTTTTACAGGCGTCGTTGCTTCATCCTTTGCAATCGTCAAAACAGGAGGGAGTATGCCGTATTTTCACATCAATGTTGACAAGTACGATAAGGACAGTCATTGCATTGCCTCTGAAAGTCAGGATTTAATAACAAATGACTCACTAAGGCAGGAAATTACTGCCACCTACTGGTGCTTTTAGTGTCATATTTATCTATTAAGGTGTTTAGAATAGTTGCTTTTTGTATGTTTCTTCATGATCCCCTTTTACATGTTATAGCACGTAATTCGATTATATTAGCGACACTACGATATCCACATTTAAAAAATCCCCTTGCTGATTGGGTTAGAAAGTGATAAATTTACATTTTTGTCCACATTATTCTGTCATTGAAGCCAGTAATAATCTTACTGTAACGGTTAAGGCTAATGTATACTTCAGCAAATGGTCCGGTGCAGCCTTCGAGCGGTCACAGCCCTCACCATGGCTGACGCATTCTTTAAAAAATTGTAACCACGTCACAACAATGCGTAGCGCAAGCTCTGTGATTGGTCGGCTTGGTAGAGGTGACGTTACCCATTCAAAGTGAATGGTAAGCGTTGCCGCTGACGCCCCGTGTGAATGGGACGTAAATGCACGACTACGCGCAAGGCACGCGCCATAGGTCACGCCGATCACTCAACGCAAATGTATAAACCAGCCTTAAGTAAACACTAAAGAGCTCTAGTTATAGTGCAAATTTTGCAATTCCCCATCCAAGTAGCTTCTATAATGTAATCAAAGAAGCGTCAGTTTCGAATTTATGTCTAATTTGCCTTCATAATTAGTTTTTCTTTAGCTTGAATGTCAGCGTAATGTCTGTTTTTAAACTTATATTTGATTCTTTTTTATGTTTGTTAAAGTTTCACATCAATTTTTCATGTAAAAAAAAAAATCCTAAATATCAAATCTACCACATTTATTTTAGTTGATAAAAAGGTGCGCAATCATCTCAATAGTAATGTAATGGATTGTGTTTTTAAAGTCTGTAATGATGCGCTCAAAAACTCACATTTTGCAAATAAATCAAAATATAAACTTCGCTAAACCTGGTGTAAAAGTGCACAGTTAAACTACTGTCTTGCAGGTTGAGTAAAAAAACAAAACGTAAAAAACAAAAAAAAACAAACCTGACAACGACTGCTGTTCCTGTTCAGAGTGTGTATCTGAAATATCATAGTGTCCAATCACTGCAGGACCCACTGCAACACACACATCAGAAGATTCACCAGTATATTCGTATGTCCACAGTTCTAGTCTCACTACTCTATAACTTTCCTGTAAAAAACAACAATCTTTCCAAACATGTAGATTTTGCTTTAAATGGCCATTCACACCAAGGACGATAACTACAAATTTAAATATTTAACAATAACCATATTGGTGTCCACACTAGGCATAAGATCCTGACGGTATCATAACCTTGGAAAAAAAATATCAGTTTCACGGTATTGTGATTACTGCTCTAAAATATATTCTTTTTAAACGTCTGGGTAAAAATCTAAAACCCATTTCAACACAATATATTTTATTTTGAGTAACATTTAAAATATTTTGGAGCAGTTAATGGGTCCGGCTAAATGAATTATTGAAACAGCATCTTTTCTGCTGAAGATATTCCTGTCCTACAAAGCAAAAAAAAAAAAAAAGGAAAAAAAAAAAAAAACGTAAACAACATTAAGATACGGTATATCTTAGGGTGCTCGCTGCAGAGCCATTTGAGGAGAGCAGAGCTCCAGCGAGGGGGAGCATGAGCTGTCGCTCCTCCTCCTGTAAGCTGTTTTAATGCGTACACCCACCCCACCCCTAACCCTACCCCCAGTGACATCACTCGTAGAAGAAGTGCAAAACAGATGGAGCTTAAGCTCCCCCTCGCTGGAGCTCAGCTCTCCTCAAATGGCTCTGCAGCGAGCACCACTTGGAAAATTTTGCGGTTTTAAAACCTTGACTTTTCCAAACCGCGACATACCTTGAAAACGGTTATCATTCCATGTCTAGTGCACTCCAGCAAATGATTACAATCTGTTGTTTATGCTCGTCTTGCATTATCCACTTGTAACTTGCAGATGTTCTCAGTGTGCAACATTTATAGCATTTCTAACCAGTGAATCCAGCTCATGTAATCAATTGAATCAAACATGGATTTAAGCAACGCAAAGATTCCAAAACTGGACACCATAGTTACTTATTTTATACTTTAATCTGCTCGCATGTACATTTTTATTATTCTTCTCGTTATAATGTTATAACCAAAGTCACTATGTTTGAATAATCTTTGAAAAAAGGGTCTAACTTCTCCACAATGTCTGTAGCTTTTAATTATGCGAGCCCTTCATATTAATCATATCAATAAATTCTGACTGACTTTCAGTGTTTATTTGGTTGTTATCTGAAAAAAATCTTTATTATTATTATTCATGGTGTGAACAGCCCTTAATCACATTTGGTCATGCTCCTGCTTCACATTTTAAAAAATAAATAAATGATACAAAATATATAAAATATATATATATATTTCTCTTAGTATGAGGAAAATAAATTAAATTTGTGCAAATGCTCAATTTAAACGAGTAGAATGGCTTTAAAAGCAAAAGGCTGCAAAAGCCTATTCCTGCCATGAAATATGATTTCTTTTTTCCAAAACTGCAATTAGCTGATATTCTACCTTTGCTTGTTGCAGAAAAATTAGATGCAGACTTTAGGCAAGGGGCGATAACTGTTTTCAAGATATACAGCGGTTTGAAAAGGTCAATGTTTTTTAAACCGCCAAGATTTTCTGCAATACCCTTCCTAAGATATATTACTTTTTTTTTTTTTTATATTAAAAATTTTATTTTTTTAGGACAACAATATCTCCAGCAGAAAAGATGCCCTTCAATAATTCAATAATTCATTTAGCCGGACATGTTTACTGCTCCAAAATATTTTAAATGTTTCTCAAAATAAAATATACTGTGTTTAAAAGGAAAAAAAAGCTTTAGTTTTTTTACCCAGACATTTAAAAGAATATATTTTACACAATACCGTAAAACCGTAAAAATAAAATAAATTATATTCCATATAATTTATTTTAAAGCAATATTTTTCCTTTTTATAGTTGATTACATTTCCTTGTTGATTGCTGAAATAAAAATTTTGTTTTTTCTTTTCATTTTAATAAATATTTCAAAAATAAAATATAGTGTTAGTTTCAGTTATATTAAAACTAAAAATAATATTTTTTAACAAAAATGAACATGCAAATTTATTCCCATAATACCAGAAGCATGTATTAAAAAAATCTTTAAAAAATAAGAAAAACACTGAAAAAAATAGTAAACCAATTGGAATTGCTAACAATGTATGTGTTGAATTTAAACAAATTGAAATTTTCAACTTCAACTTTCAGCCCAAATAAACGGTTTATAATCACTTAACGTAAAAGCAAAATTAGTAAATGCGAGGATTCATGTTTGAATCTTTATTTTTTTTCAGTACACACTACCTGACAAAAGTCTTGTCATGAATCTCAGTTGTAAGAGCAACAAATAATAACTTGACTTCTAGTTGATCATTCAGAAAAGTGGCAGAAGATAGATTTTTCAGATAAACCATCTGTTGAACTGCATCCCAATCATCACACATACTGCAGAAGAGCTATTAAAACCCGCATGTACTCAAGATTCTCACAGATAGCAGTCAAGTTGGGTGAAGGAAAAATCATGGTTTGGGTTACATTCAGTATAGGGGCGTGTGAGAGATCTGCAGAGTGGATGGCAACATCAACAGCCTGAGATATCAAGACATTTGTGCTGCCCATTACATTACAAACCACAGGAGAGGGCAAATTCTTCAGCAGGATAGCGCTCCTTCTCATACTTCAGCCTCCACAACAAAGCTCCTGAAAGCAAAGAAGGTCAAGGTGCTCCAGGATTGGCCAGCCCAGATACCAGGCATGAACATTGAGTATGTCTGGGGAAAGATGAAGGAGGAGGCATTGAAGATGAATTCAAAGAGTCTTGATGAACTCTGGGAGTCCTGCAGGAACACTTTCTCTGCCATTCCAGATGACTTTATTAATCAGTGATTTGAGTCATTGCAGAGATGTATGATGCAGTCATCCAAGCTCATGATGGAGTCAGACACAATATTCATTCTGTCTCCACTGCAGCAGGACTTTATATTTTATACTGGACACTATTTCTGTACAGTGACCAGACTTTTGTCAAAGCAAAGTTAAACCTTACTGTCTTAAACAATTAAAAATCAAGGCCTAATCATATTTTACTTAGGTAAAATAAACAATCTAGAGGCCTTTGCCTTTCATATACGCCACTTCTGATGCCAAATGATCAACTAGAAGTCAAGTTATTATTTGTTATTCCTAAAACTTGGAAAGGCAACAACACTTTTGTCAGGTAGTGTATAGATTTTTTTTTAATTAAATTATACTCTTTGATAACTGACAGCACATGTACTATAAAGGTCAGGTAAAACCGCAGAATGCTGGTAAAATACTAGTATATTTATTAACCAGCTAATGACAGAGCAGAGATCACACGTCAGTAAAGTGTTACATAGACATGAAAACACAAATGAACGTTGCCTGGTACACTTTAACGTTTGGTGAGGCAGTAGTACAGGACATTAAAAAACAATGCAACAACAAAGAAAAACACCTTGATCAAATAAAAATACATCTATCTCTGGTAACTCTTGTTTTCTAACAATTATGGAGGTTATTCTGGCCTCCATCTGAAACATTATGACACTAAACTTAGGCAGTCTGGTAATTATTACACAAAAAAATAACATAAAAACGTAAACAATCTTCTTCAGATATTCTATACACAACAGCAAACAGCTTTCAAGTCCTCCCGTAAATCTACAGTAAACGTCGACTACGAGTGTTTGTATTAGCGTGTAGGAAGCACATGATGGGCCAATCTCATGAAACCTGTCAAGAACATGTCCAGCTCATATTTCGCCCTAAAATCAAGAAGAAATAACACAATTATACTTTGCAGTAAAATTAGACCCATTTATATACAGGTTAAAAAGTACATATTGTGAAGTTTTAATACCACTTAAAAACTTTATTCTGTAATAAATAAAGAAAGCCACTGTGAAATGAAAGCGTTTATAAAATAATATGACTTTCAACTGTGTATGCACATAAACATACAATTTATATTGTGCTGGATTTAATTAATGCCATTTTTCTAATTAAAAGCTCATTATAAATGAGTGAAAATGTGTTATTCATATACATTTAATTTCTCTGTATGAAAAAAAAAATTAGGGCGGACTAAAAATGATTTCTATTAACATTCAGAGATAAATATCAAATAAAAATAATTAAATTTGCAACAACATCAGGCATATTAATATGCTCATTGAGAAAATTGTTTTGCTTATTACTTTAAGATTAAAAAGTAAATCAAGTATGTTATTTTTAAAATGCTATTAACATTTTATTTATTCCTTATAAAAAACAAAACAAAAAAACACTAATATGGTAATAAAACTGCACAATCTTCACAAACATTCTTTCAAAATGTGTTAAATCCTGTTCATTAAAAACGGTTAATTTTTTAATGCAAATCAGGGCTGCACGATAACAGATAAAAACTGACATTGTGATATTTAGTTTGTCTGCGATGTATATATTGTGATAAGCATAAAATCTCACAAGATGACTTAAGTATTTTGAATGATTGGGATTATTTCTGTTGAGGAGTGTCAGCCTAAAATACATTACAACTGAACAGATACAAATGGATTTGATGGTTTTCTGTGGTATCTTGAGGTACAATAAATATATTTATAATATAATAGTGTATAGTCTGTATTAGGGCCGTGCGATTATTCGAAAATCGAATTGGATTTCAAATGTTGAGATTAGCTTATCGCAAGAGGCTGTGATATGAAATATATTTGTATTAAGTAATTTAATTAATCTCCCCTGCCCGGAGCAAATGCATGACTGCTGTTTGTGTGTCTTGCTAAGAAGCCAACTGAAAGTATCGCCAGTGACACCTAATCTAGTGGCAAGCAACAGCAAAGTATATTTTCAGAGTTGTTTCAGCCATTTTGAGGGTTCTGTATTTCTATAATTATTATTTTTTGGTTTTGTAATAAGCTACACTATCTCTCTGATTTGAGTTCACCTTGTTTACAGAAAGGTAAGGTCATTTCATTTGTGCTTACTGTTTGCTCTAGAGAAAAATGAGCGTTTCAGTTCTGAATGTTTAAAAATATATTTGAATAAATGTTTAAGTCAATATATGACGGTTCATTCCACTGTGGCGAACCCTGATTAATAAAGGGACTAAGCTGAAAAGAAAATGAATAAATGAGGTTAATACCTTTTCAGTTTATTCACTGCATTTTCGCAGTAGGACGCTACAATTAAGGAAGGGTATCGTTAAGGTTTTAACTATTACTACTTTTATTGATACCACTTATTGGTTCGGTACATTAACAGTTCTCTAATTGGTACTTTTTGTAGTGTTTATGAAAAAATAAATAAATAAATAAATTGAACAAAAATCAACAACTTATTTTATTATTACGTTTTTAATGTGAAATAAAACGAAACCAATAATTGTAAAACTGTAAAAGAATGTACAATGCTTTAAAGGAAAATGACTCAGTTTTTAACCATTCTTCTGGAGAAAAATCAACATGTTTGACTTTTCTGGTAGACGTTGGGATCCCCTCTAAGTTGCAAAATGCAGTTAAATAATCAGATAATGTTTATAATTTGTCATTAACTCATTCACATTAATGAGTTAACAGTGTTTTGGGAGTTAACAGTTTTTATTACAGTTTAAAAGCATTTTGCAATGTAGAAACAAGCTGTTTTTTTTATAATTTCTTAATAAGTATTTTATTATTAGGCTATAAATAGGCTATATTTGTAAATACAGCCAATGTAAAAGCATGTTTAATGTTTAAGATATTTTTAGGCTACTGCAGAAAAAAATAGTTTTCATTGTAACTAAATGTGTGTTTATTTAACCAATAACATTATACTAATTTAGGTGATTGACTGATGACATAACGATGTGAATGATGTAATTTTACCGTTAGTAGTTAGGCAGCAAAAACTTTTTACTTTTGAAAGATCCTTTCACTTTGACAGATTTCTTGCATTTCCGCTTATACAAAAAAAAAAAAAACTTGTTGCAACAGGTATTGTCGCTGTCCACTCGAAAAATACAACACGTTTAGTTCACTCCGCAAGCTTACGAGCTGTGTGTGCACGAGTTTGTGTCGCAAGCTAGCCGAGAACTGTGAAGACTTTTATACTTGATGCACTCATCGGAAACACAAGCATTTTTCATGTGAGATTCCCAACTGTGCAGATGAATATCAAATATCGCAAATTAGAAAAGGTTGGTCAGTTAAATTTTGCTACTGTAAGTAACGTTTATTCAGCAATAATTCTCCAGTACCGATAGCAGAACCGTTAATTATTGTTTCTTTTATATTTTAGCACAGATACCGATTAAGTACAGAGTTTCGATACCCATCCCTAGCTACAATACAGATTATTGAGCTGAAGCTTGACTACAAAATTAAATTTGTAAATCAAATCGGGGAAAAAAAAAATTGAAATTTGATATTTTCCACCAAATCGCAGAGCTCTAGTCTTCATCGTTTAAATAATTAAATACAAATAATTTTGGTTTATATACCTTCATAACCTCTTGGTTTAAGTTTGCTTAAGTCTTAACCATATCCAAATGAAAATCTTTCACTCTATTTTACGGATAAACTTTGCAATGACCACACAAATCCCATGTTCTGTGGTGCTGATTAACTATAAGCCCAACTTGACATTGCTGATACTGCAATGTGACTATTGCAGGTTCACACATTGCGAGATCGATAAAGAAATATTGTGCAGCCCTAATGCAAATCATTCAATTTTGGGAAAAATATGACTCTTGACATGTCTTTGTGGAACATCACCTTTAAATAATTACATACATAGACAGTGATTAGTATCTCTTGTTTTAAACACCGTCAAGGGAAAACCCAATCAGTGTAGTAGCAGGATCAGCCCCGTTTATTGCATTAAGGTCGTTTCTATTAGTGTCAGATGCTCATTTGTGTGCACTCTAGGTTAGTATTTAGCATAAAATCCAAATGTACAGGCTGTCATCACATTACAGCTCTCAGTGGTCAGTCATAACATGCATATTCCGCGTCGTAAGGAAGCGATTAAATAAAAACCTAAAACAATCCACAATGCACACAACAAGTGTTCTTTGGTAGACATGCCAGGGTGAATGAGAACAGACAGACAGACACATGGCAGTCACAGAGTCTTTCGTCACTGTTTTTATGGGCTTGACGAATGGTTGATTGATTGATCTCCTGGTGAATGGAAAAGTTCGGCTCTCCTGAACACACGAGAGCATTTAAAAGGCACTGACTGTGGAGGGCGGCCCTGAGATGCCAATAGAAAACAACGCAAAAATGTTAATAGAAGACAGGCAAGATCAAGTTAAAGAAACAGTTCATCAACACAAAACTACAAATCTCAGTCGTTTACTCACCTTTGTGTCATTCCAAACCCATATGACTTTATTATTGCTGCTTAACTCCATAAACTGTTGAAAGTTATCCTGATAATTATGGCTCGTTTGTATTGAGTGGTATGGTACAGTTTCAATATCAAATCATAATGTGGCACTAGGGTTGGGACAGTAAATCGATGCATTGCATTTTGTACCACTAGATGGCACCGGATGCTTCACAAACAGTCACACTTTGCCAATCCGTACACATAGCACTTGAACTGAAAACAATTTAGGGCTGTACGATACTTGAAAATATCCACAATATGCAATGTTGTTTAGTATTGCGCAAATGATATTTCTTACGATACGACATCTTCCTAGAAAAATGCTTTTTTTATTAGTGATGTTTATTTAATGATATTAAAATATTCAGATTTAATTAATTCTAATTCAGACTAAAAATCTTGGTCAAGATGCAAACAATTATTATGAACGCTATAAATAAGTGAAAATCTCAGCAGATATTCTGAAAATTTTGGAATCTATTGCGATTCCTCTTGAATTGATTGAGCCTTTTTACCACCAGATGTCGCTCTATGCTTTACAAATGGTCACACTCTGCCAATTCGTATCATACCACGTAAAACAATTTAGGGATCCACAATTCTGGATAATATACTCAATATGCAATGTCCTTTTGTATTGTGCAAACAATTGTTTTATGATGTAACATTTTCCTAAAAAAAATTTAGTAGCAATTTTTACCTAATGAAATTAAAATAAACAGTTAAAAGACTCCTTTCAGATCTTATTCATTCAAATTCAGACTTAAATTATCTGTCGAAATGCAAACATTTAGCATGAAGACAAAAATGAGTGAAAGCTTCTGAATTAAAATGTTTATTTAATTGATTTGGAGCCATTCGTTTACCACTAGATGGCGCTGTAGGCTTTACAAATGGTCACATTCTGCCAATCCGTACACGTACCACTTGAACGTAAAACAAGCTAGGGCTGCACAATACTTGAAATATGCAATATTGCAATATGCAATGTTGTTTAGTATTGCGCAAACAATACTTCTTAGGATATGACATTTTCCTAGAAAAATGCTATTTTTATTAGTGATGTTTATTTAATGATATTAAAATATTCAGATCTAAATTCTAATTTAGACAAAAAAATCTGTCGAGGTGGAAACATTTATATTGAAAGGTAAAAATGAGTGAAAACCTTAGCAGATATTCTGAAATTTTCTAAATGCATTACGATTCCTCTTGAATTGATTGAGCCTTTTTACCACCAGATGGCGCTGTATGCTTTACAAACGTTCATACTGCTAATTCGTATCATACCACGTAAAACAATTTAGGAGTGCACGACTCTGGAAAATATACGCAATATGCAATGTTGTTTAGTTTTGCGCAAACGACATTTTTTAGAATACAACATGTCCCTAGAAAAAAGCTATTTTTATTAGCAATGCTTATTTAATAATATTAAACAGTTTAGTTGTAAACATTTAGAGTGAACACTAAAAATGAGTGAAAACCTCAGCAAATATTCAGAAAATTTCTTAATGCATTGCGATTCTCTCTTGAATTGATTCTGAGCTATTCGTTTACCACTAGATGGTGCTTTATGAGTTACAAACAGTCACACTCTGTCGCTTCGTACACATAGCACTTGAACGTAAAACAATCTGGGGCTGCACAATACTGGAAATACGCAATATGCAATGTTGTCGAGTATTCCATTACAATATAACATTTCCCTAGAAAACTAATAGTTTTATAAGCAATATTAATTTCTAATTATTATTATTATTATTATTAATATTATCATTAAATATTTATCGATATCAAAATAAAATCCCTTTTTTTCCTGAACTAATTATTTCAAATTCAGACTACACAACTGTCAAGGTGCAAACATGACCACCACGAAACTCGTATGCATACCACTTGAATGTAAAACAATATACAGCAACAAAATTCTAGAAAAATATAGGAAGTTTTATATGGGAAAATATTAGTGATTGTTTTCAGCTCTGGGTTCACTTTTTTGGTTTCACTGTTTCAGTCAATAGATAAACAGAAATTACTGGGAAGGTGGGGATAAAGATACTAAAGCTCCATCTGGTTGGTCAAATTTAGATAAATTATATATTTTTTTCAATAATTATTTTCTCTGGGTTTTTATCTTTATTTCGGATGGGAAAGAATTGGGAGCAGAGAGAGGGGAAGGATCGGCAGAGGACCGCGAGGTGGAATCAAACTCGGGTCGCCGTAAGCACCTTGTCGTGCATGTGTCGACGCACTAACCACTACACCACAGGAGCCGACATAAACAAACCAATGCATTAAAAAAAAAATTTATTTCACACATCTGCAAAATGTATATTGGACACACTATTATTGCAATAACAATAACTTTGCAATATATTGTGCAGCCCTAAAACAATTTACGCGAACAATGACACTTAATGCCATTTTTTAATAAACTGCCAAAACCTGACATCGTAATAATAGATTGACGGTGAACAGCTATGAACTATGATCAAACAAAGCTTGTCTCTTTTTGTAACAAACAGCCACATGACGAAGCAAGAACAGACTGTCCTCCTATTTGAAACATTGAACTAAATTTAAAACGTTAAAATTGAGCAGACAAAACATGCAATATATAAACAGCCCGTGCAGCTTTCTTTTTCAGAGCAGGAATAACATTGATTTAACTTTGGCAGTGGAAATGCAAGTTGGATGTGCGTGACCTGTACCAAATTGCACAATACCATACCACTCAGTGGAAATTACAAGCATTTTCAGTGCTCAGATGAAACACAACACCACCCGGTGTTGACATGCATTTAAATACATCTCAACAGTACTTTTGATTGGATTTTGTAGCCTCCTACTTCTTTTTATCATCATTTTCATTATAATTTCTGTGGGAATGCTTGGTGCATTGCATGTGTACTACAGAATAAACAAACCAATGTTAAATGGATTATGGATTACAACAGCAACTATAATTTCCATCATAATCTGTGTGTTTTTGTGCACTTTTTAAATTACTCTTAAGTTATTAAACGTGGATAGGCTGGTCAACTTCCAAAGACAACAAAATTGCTATATACAGCAAACCTCAATAGTCTGATTGCTTGTATTAGTGTAAAAATGTAACTATATAAAAGCACAATCTGCTAAATGTGATTGTAAAATGCAAAGACAAACTTTTAATAACTGTTTAGCCTAATAACTAATCTATAGGGAAATGAACACCAGAGCTACAATGATAGATGGAAAGAGGAGTGATGCTGTTAAAAATCACAGGACTGAGCCAATCAGAACCTACTACTTTAAATAGTGCCAGCATTAAAAATGGCATTCAATAAAACTACTCCAGCATGCAATAAGATTTAAACAAGGCTATCATGCATTAGCATTAAAACTGTTAGTGGTATCTTGGTGTGAGCAGGCTTTAGTGCATTACGATATAAAGATATATTCAATCTTTATCAATGATTCTGTCTTTCATAAAGCAAGTACACTAGAAGTCTTCCAGTATAGTTTTATCTTGGAAAAAAATCTAAGTAATGACATTTATAAATGATTTAACATTTCAGGGGCTGGACGGCACTAATTCCAGAGACAGTTCATACAAAAGATAAATATATTAACCCTAAAATAGTTTAAAAATTTGCATGTTTTGCTTCTCTTAATAACAAAATAGATTTGGAAGAATGCTGGTCAGACATTAGCTGATTTCCATAAATCCTATGGAAGTCAATGGCTATTGTTAACTATGTTCAAAAAGACGACGAAACAAAAGACAATTTTCATATTTGAATGAACTGTCTCATTAAATTGACGTGATATTCCTAAAAAAACCCACACGGAAGAAAGTCAAATGGGTTTGGAATGGCATGAAGAAGAGCAAATGTTAATTTCTGGGTGAACAGTTTCTTTAACAGAGAGAGAGAGAGAATGAGAGAATGAAAGCTTCAATGGGAGATAAAGAGAGAAAGTCTGTGCATTGTGCAAAGCCTCCACTTCAGCGAGTCGGCACAGATGTTACTTGAACGTTCTTTAAACGTTTGGTTCAGGCGGCTCCGCATTTCCATTGAGACCAGCAGTCTGGGGAGGAGGAGGAACAGTCATGGCGTTGAGTCGCGCCATCTGATAGGCCGCCAGTGTTTCCTGCGACTCCGATGACGGCAGGAAGGAGCTGACCTGGCTACGCCCCTCTGGATTTTCACTGGACGAAAGGTCGTCGTCTGAGTGCAGGCGGGTCAGTCTATCCATCCACACTCGAAAGCGTTCCTCGGTCTGTCTCTGCATCGCGGCGAATCGTGTAAGAGCTTCCTCCAAGACTCCGCCCAGGCTCCCGCTGGCCACGCCCAAGTCGAGTTGGCCTCGCCCGCGTGCTGATGCTCCAGAAGTGTCGGCTCGGCGATGGCCAGCTTAAAGACAGACGGCAGTGCCGAGAGAGAGACGTCAGACACACAGGAAGGCAGAAAGGAGCGGCGTTATTGCGTGCACACCGGCGAGCATGCTGGGAAACAATCATGCAGCTCTCGCAGTGCATTTCACCAAATGGTCACATCACTAAAGACGGCTTAAACGATCACACACTGAGGAAAGATACCAGCGTTCTGAACCAGCCCTCGGGAAATAGGTGGGAACAATCAATCTGAGGTGTACAAATTCAACTTTGTGAATGACTAGTCAACTACTGCCATCATTACACTGGTTTAAGGTTATTAATCACAGAGCAACGGGTCTCATTTATAAACCTGGAGTACGCACACCATGGGCGGAAATGTTCCCACGCAAAAGTTGTGATCTATAAAAATACAAACCTGATGGGAGAATGTGAGTAAGTACACATCTTTAACTTAGATATTGCCTTAGCTGAACCATTTTAAACCATCATATGAGCTGTAATCATTAAGAAGTTAACATTTATTATGGTGTACATTCATTTTTAGGAAGGCTTCTGTGCAAATTTTAGAAATCAGACCCCTGATGACATTTCATAATGAAATTACAATAATTTGTGTGTTTTATAAAAGTGGTTTTAAAACTATTTAGGATCAAGTAATGAAAATACCAGGTAAAGAATTCATATTAAATATTAAAAAGTAATTGTGTAAATCTTTTAAAAGACCTTTAATAGACATGCGGAGACCCTATCATTCATTCATTTATAAAGTTGAAGTCAGAATTATTAGCCCCCCTGAATTATTATCCCCGTTTATTTTTGTTCCCTAATTTATGTTTAACACAGAGATCATTTTCAACTCTTTTCTAAGCATAATAGCTTTAATAACTCATCTCTAATACCTGATTTATTTTATCTTTCCCATGATGACAGTCAATAATACTGACTAGATATTTTTCAAGACACTTCTATACAGCTTAAAGTGACATTTAAAGGCTTAACTAGGTTAACTAGACAAGTTAGGGTAATTAGGCAAGTTACTGTATAATGATGGTTTGTTCTGTAGACCATTGAAGAAAAAAAAAGGGGCTAATAATTTTTACCTTAAAATGGTTTTTAAAAATTAAAAACTGCTTTTATTCTAGCCAAAAGAAAACAAATAAGACTTTCTCCAGAAGAAATAATATTATCAGACATACTGAGAAAATTTCCTTGCTCTGTTAAACATCATTTGGGAAATATTTAACAACTAAAAAAGATTCTAAGGGGGGCTAATAATTCTGACTTCAACGATAGATAGATAGATAGATAGATAGATAGATAGATAGATAGATAGATAGATAGATAGATAGATAGATAGATAGATAGATAGATAGATAGATAGATAGATAGAAGGATTAATACAATTTGCTTAACTATGTGTGATGGTAAAATTAAGTTGGTGCATGTGTTACAAAAATATCCGGCTTACAAAAATGACAAAAAAAAAAAACTTTGAAAAACAAATCTGTAGTAAAAATATTATACTTAAATATTTATTCATAAATATTAGAAAATAGGAATGGTTTAAAATAAGGCAACAAGTTTCCAAAAATACAACATCTAAAAATAAAGCGATATTGAAATTCAATAATTTTTTTAGGAACAATTTAAATGAAAACAAGCTGAAATTAATAAAAGCCAATTTAATTCAAGAAACACTTAACAAAATAAGCCGACTAAAGATTTATATGAAACAAATTTGTATAGTTAATAAATAGAATAAATTGTATGAAATACTATTAAAGTAGTATAGTTAATATAGTATAGCTTTACTTCATTTTTTTTAAATGTTGCTAAAAAGTAACAAAATTGAAAGATTTATTGAAAACTGAATTATTGTATGGTCCACAAACGATCACATACACACAGCCATGTACACAGTGTGGGAGTCATAAAGAAAGGCAGACGCCCTCTGGTGGCCTGATGACAAAATGCACATGTAGTACTTTGGACAAAAATGTATAACCTTTCTATGCAAAAAACCTAAAGATCAATGATGAAAAAAAACAACAACTGCAGAAACTACACACGAGCCACAGAAAACACAAAGACGTCAGATACAGAAAGACATGATGAAGCAAATAGAGGATTTCACAATTCACCTCCAAACTAGCAGCATTAAATTGAAGTCATTGCAAACACTGAATAAAATAATATTTAAATGATTGAATTGCTCTCTTCAGCAATGGTAACTGTTTCTTACTATCAGAGAACAAAAAAACAACCTAAATTTGAATTCAATTTAAGATTACTTGAATATCGCTGTTCACAATAATTATCATTCCAAAGCAGCTTCACAAAACCACATCACTACATTGGTCAAAATGAAAAAAAAAGTTGAGAAAGTGTAAAGGGTTGGCAGTGTATAAACGAAGTTATCCTGCAATATAAAGTGTATTTTTAAGGAAGATAATAATTACATATAATACATGTTCAGTGAAGTGAATTGGTTTGCATTAAACAGTTTGACTTAAATTTGCGCAATATTGATGAGTTAGCAGGTCATTCTGCTAGGTTGCTAAAAACAGGGGTCAGTGTGAGGTCAAAGCGCTGCTGTATCTTGACACCGGGAAAAATGTTCCTCACCTGCCGCTGTGCATATGATGTCATTCAACATGCAGAGATGAAAACACCTAAGTGGTGCAGAAGACCCTTTATGAGTTTGTGTTGCACTATGTTTGTGTGTGTGTGTGTGTGTGTGTGTGTGTGTTTAATCAAGTGTTTCATCATTTAGTCAACATGCACCAAAATAAATGCATGAAATGAAACGCCACCATGGATGCTTCACTGAGTGTTGGTTGGTTGCTGTTAGAACTATGAGAAAACTTCATAATTCAGTTTCTGATCTGATTCCAAAACGATTCTCAATGCATCCGCTTGTTAGAGCAGCAGTGAACACTTTAAGCCTTTATTTTGAAGGGTTTATTCACTTAGAAAACGCAAGAATGAACGTATGTGGATGGGTGTTTGTTTATTTTTCTAGGTTATTTTGGCATCGGACAGCTCAGTTCAAACCTTTTTTACTAGTTTTTCAATTTGATTTGGTTTTTAATATATTTTGTGCATTTATATTAATGTTGTGAATATCTGTATTTTGTTTAAAAAGTGTTTTTAATGTCTATTAGGGTTGGGCAATGTCGACCAATTTGGCATCATATGATGTCTATTGTGAAACATCGCGATAGGGCTGCTCGATTATGGGAAAAATCATAATCACGATTAGTCAAAACGATTATCTGTTGAAGTCAAAATTATTCGCCCTTCTGTGAATTTTTTTATATATAAATATTTCCCAAATTATGTTTAACAGAGGGATTTTTTCCACAGTATTTCCTATAATATTTTTTTCTTCTGGAGAATTTTTTTAATTTGTTTTATTTTGGCTAGAATTAATGAAGGTTTAAATATTTTGAAACCCATATTAATAGCTCAAAATTATTACCCCCCTTACGCAATATATATTTTTGATTGTCTGCAGAAGAAACTACCGTTATACAATGACTTGCCTAATTATATTAGTTAAGCCTTTTAATGTCACTTTAAGCTGAATACTAGTATCTTGAAAAATATCTAGTAAAATATTATGTGCTGTCATCATACAGGGCTCGAAATGAACTTTACTTGGTAGCACCGGTGCTCCCAACTTCAAATATTTAGGAGCACCAGAAAAAATGAATGAGCACCGCTGAAAATTGTATATTAAGGGATTTATTGTATTTGAAAACAACATCAATCAGGACTAACAAAAACCAGAAACAACTATTTAACTAATGCTGAGATGACATTGATATTTGTGTGCAATAATTCCAAAATTAATGTCTAATAATTATAGAATATTAATGATGATGAAAATGACAATAGTAACAATGAATTACATTTCTCATGATACTGCCTTGAATGTGCTTGAATGCAAGTTATTTCCTATAAAAAGTCTGTTACTTTATGAAAAATAAATGTATAGTTTGCATCAAACAAAAATGAAGCATTGCAGTAAGAAATATTTATTTTGCACTATTGTTTTTATATGCATGTCAATTTAATAAACAATATTTATGCTACAAAACAAACAAAAGATTATAATAAATAATTCAATTTAATGCTAAAAGCAATACCGCTCGTTGTTATGAGCCGCAGTTTCAGTGTAAACTTAGTAAAAGCGAGCTTCTTTGGCGATGATATGTACAGTATTAGATTTGACTTTTAGCGGACATTTGCGCTGAACACGCACTGAATAAAACGCATCGAGAATCGGGCACCTTCTCCGAATAGCACGTACTTGATCTCAGCTGGCGGATCAATATTCACCACGTGTCATGATCGCTCTCATCTGCGTCTCAACTTTAGGTGGGGTTTGCAAACCTGTGTGCTTTAAGTTTTCACTCTTCAGCCGTTTGCATTTCCCGTGGTCATAAAAGCTCCTTCCCTGTCATCTGACAGCGGAATACCTTGAGTGATTGGCAGCTAATATGAACCAATATAGCGGCAGGGAGTGATTCAGCACGTTTTTAGAAAAAAAATCAAAACAGGTCACACCAATGCTCCCAAATATGTTATGAGGTCTCATAGATTAATTTTCGGGCGCATATGCGACCAAAATGGTCGCAATTTCAAGCCCTGTCATAGCAAATAAAAAATAAATCAGTTATTAGAAATGAGTTAATAAATCTGTTATGTTTAATCTGTACCTTAAGCATCTTCACTGTAAGAAAAACACTTCAGCAACAAAAGTCCTTCAGTCAAGAGCAGTGAGGGATTTTCTCCTTTTGTTGTTTGATTAATAATAAGCAGGGATATTGCGTGCTGTCACTTTAAGAATAGTGCGGCTCTGATATGTTTTCTCTTTCACATGTCTTTTGATTTTTAACTTGTTTAATCACATAAATGAGGGTTAATATGAATAATCACTAAACACCGCGCTCTGAAACAAGTGTGCATATATTTGACCATTAAATTCACATTAAGATGGCGTTAGATGTG